GCACCAGCACCTGTGGTACCACCTGCATGAACTAGGATGAACTGGGACAAAACGGTTCCACCATTGCCAGCACTTCCGATATGATAATAAAAATAAAATATGTCATCAAATTAAGTCTGGCTTATGATGGTCCTTTTTTCAAGACTTTTCCAGGTAGAGAGGACACAGAAGTGGTTTACCAGCCCCTTTTTCTGGGACGACGCAGCTTGTCCAAGGCCACGCGGGTTGTCTGTTCTCCCGGGGGGGGGGGAAACAAAGCCCCAACCTCTGACCACTGAGCTGTCCAGCCAGCCATTCTAAATAGCCCAGCAGGAAAAAAGGGCAAAGTGTGGTTTTCAGGCAATCCTAACTGAGCCCTACTGTGGTAATAAATCTAACCCTGCTCATTTTGCAAGCCTGCCTTTCCATAACTAGGCCCTTGGTGGTTTTGTTCTCTTTAAATATTTTTAATCTCAAAATGGACGTCCTAGACATGCAAACTAAATCCAACAGTACGAATAATATTAAAAAGAACATTAGCTTAAGAAAAGAAAAATGTGTGTTCTCTTTCTGCAACTAAATCTGAGGTCAAGGGGAGGAAGAAGTGATTCTGTGGATGAGGTAAGAAAAATGTTTATTAAACCTAAAACTCATAAATTGAAGCAAAAAGAAAGATACGTTTTCACTCGTCAGCAAAAACATCTGGACACCTGATGCTATGGGGAGGAAGAAGTGATTCTGTGGATGAGGTAAGAAAAATGTTTATTAAACCTAAAACTCATAAATTGAAGCAGAAAGAAAGATACGTTTTCACTCTTCGGCAAAAACATCTGGATGCCCGATGCTATTGAGCATCAGAAGCGGTCTTACCCATGTTCAAATACTAGCAAATATTTGGAGCAAACTGGCTTCTGGGGGGGAGGCGGAGGGGGTTGCAAAAGGAAGGATCCTTTCCTGGTAGGTTTGAATGGCAAGGAAGGAAGGACGTTTGGAAAGCTCAAGCTATGGGATGGTGCGAAGGTGTAGCTCAAAGGTCGGCTACCTTGCCTGCCCTGGGCATCTTCAAGAAGCAAAAGGATGGTCTCCTGTCCTGCTTCAGGTTTCCTGTCCGGGTGGGGGGGAGCAACCTCTCTAGACTTTAGGGGGGGCACCTGACGCTTCCTGGCTTCTGTGATTCCGTAAGGGGGTGGCTTCCCTGTGCAAACTTCCTAAAACTCAGGGCAGTTTGGGGAACCCCTGTTCCCTCTTTTCTTCCTCCTTGGTATGCCCGGGGACCCCAACCAGCCAGGTCTTCACCGCCTTAACCCCGCCATGTCGGTGTGCGCTTCTGCAGGCAGCCGAAAGCCAAGGTCCCTGTGGGTCCCTCCTTGAAGCCCACCCCATTGATTTCTGCCCAGATTTTAGGGGGTGACACATTCCTCTATGGCTCGGCTGAGCGTCCTACCACCCAGGGTTGTTGTGAAGAGTTGTGGCCATGGGAGGGGCCACCAGGGGTCGCTGCAGGTCTCGCCTCCTCCTCCTCCTCCTCCTGGCCTACCTCCAAAGGGTGTGGTTGGCAAAGGGAGGACCAGGGTGGGGTGGGGTCGGGACGTTCCTCGGAGGGGTAAGGAACGTAACGCGCAGGGGAAAGGAACGGAGGAAAGGAACGGGCGGCTGCTCCCGCCCTCCCCACCCCCAGAGGGAGGCAGGGCCGGGAAAGGTGCGGCTCCAGCGGGCCCGCCTCCAGGGGCGGCAAAGCCACCGAA